GACATGAAGACCAAGTGCCAGCATGAAGGCGAGTCTTTTGTATTTCGTAGTTTGAGAGTAAGAGCCCCCTGAGGAAAAGGTCACTGACCATCAAGACCATGAGTAAAAGCTAGTGGAAAGACCAACCATTACAAGTGTTGGGTTTGAGCTCTGTGACTGTCACCGTACAAGCAAACCGCAGGTTTGCCAGTTTTCTCATTCTCCTGATCAAAAAAACAATTCAATTTCTCCAGAGAGGCTCCTTTCATAGCTTGTCCCAAGCACCGTAGAAATGTTTTTTTAGCCTCATATGTAATGAACAGGCATCAAACTCCGTGCAACCAATTGGGCCCGACGGGAACGACGGGAATGACGGGACTGACAGGCCGTGGCCTGACAGGACCGACGGGACCTCGAAGGAAACACGGCAATGTTGGAGAAGTTCTAAAGCTGAAAGAACAATCTTAGGAGTGTAGGAAAGCCATAGATTCCAGAAATTGTATTTGATTAACACCACCGAAACCGAACCATTGTGAGTCTCCACATCAACTTGGACGGTGTTGTACACTGCTTGTTGGTTAAAGCAACTGAACGCAGAACGTCATGCATTGTCCCTCTGCATGAAGAGGCGACTGCTTCCCTACAGTGACCGGGGCTGTTGCTCTCACCCATTCAGGGGTTCATTGCAAAGGATTTGATCAGTAAAGATGCATGACCTTTGAACTTTCTGGGCAGTGCTTGGGCTGACAGGTTTGAATTGAATTGGGCAACAGCTTCCTGCTACCCTTCAAGCCACAGGGCTTCAAGCAAATTGCACAGCGACAAATCAGAAAGGATGACCTTTGCTAACATGGCGTCCAAGTTCAGTACTATCCTCTGAGATAGCCTAAAGCTTCCTCCGCACTGAAAATACCTCCATCATCATATCCCTTACAGTCTTACAAGCCTAGATAGCGGGTGTCATACAAATGCTGCCAACCGTCAATGGGCGTGACATTTTGAGGTGCTGATTCCCGGACCAAAGAAGAACGCCGACGCGAGCGAGTACGGGGCCTGGTTAAACAGATGGACCTGTAGGGAAGACCTGGTTACCCTTGTGAGTGGTGCAAAACAAGTGACATGATCAAGCCATGTGTTTCAAGGTGCAATGTCCTTCCAGAATCCATTGTGGCTTCATCTATATCTTTAGTGGTAGAAGCTATGTGAGTAGTTCATACGTCAAGACGCCCGTCAAGATGCACGCCTGTGCATGGAGCTAAATGGTTAATGGTTTGAGTGAAATTCTTGGAATAGTTTCTCGAATCCGTCAGACTTTGCAAAGCAAGTGTCATGGGCACTGCAGCACACGTACTGCTACATACATGCAAGCGCGCCAATCAGAGGGTTTTGAAGTGGTTGTGCTTGATTTGATAAGCACATCCGAGTCGCTCTGTATTGATACAGATCTCAATAATTTGTTGCTCCATGTCCTCGATTTTTCGGCTCGTGCCAGGAAGACCGACCTGAGGTGGGGGCTCAACGTGATGTCTTTGCCGCTTGATCTGTAAGCGCTCGTGCCTTTTGGATCAGAATTTTTGCAGGCTCCGAGCGGTGTCCACGCACCCAGCGGCAGGGGCTCTCAGTGATGGTTCTTGTCATGAAAAGTGAAGTCTTGTTTTTACACAATACAATCCAATGGTTCTTGTTCCCGCATTGTTCTTGAATGACATGCTTTTGTCGCGTGGTAATTCCGAAAGAATCCTGAAAGAGCATACGCATGTAGCAGCTTTGCCTATGACCTAGCTTACTTTTGGACAGAGGTATATACTGTCAGAACCTGGCCTAAAGCCAAAATTCTACATTTCGTGACGAGGCGAAACTTAGAATACGGTTTGGAGAAACAATCAGCAGGTCTTGACGGTCTAAAAATAGGACTTAGAACATTCACCTGTGCTCTAACTTAGAACATCGATCGAAGTGTGCTGAACTTAGAACATTGCACTTAGAACATGGGTATAAAGTCATTCAATCACCTGCAGAACATAGAACATAGAACATGCACCATGACCATACCAACCTGAAGATGTATATATATATGTATAGGGTGCGTGTATATAACTAGGAGATCACTAGGCATTCACGAAGGAAATCAAGAAGGCAATCAATAGGAATCAAAGAAGCTTAAGAGGAAATCAATGGGAGTCAAAAGGAAGTTAAGAGGAAGTCAATAGCAGTCGAAAGGAAAGCATTACAAGGAAATCGCGCATAATGAGAAGGAAATCAACAGGAACCTAAAAAATGTAAAAGGAAACCAATAGGAATCTATAGGGCTTCCAAAGGAAATCAATAGGAATCAAAAGGGAGTTAAAAGGAGATCAATAGACATTTAAAAGGGCACCAATAGGAATCAAGTACATTTAAAAGGAAATCAACAGGAACCCAAAGGAAATCAAAAGGAATCAATCGGAATTCAAAAGGAAACCAATAGGAATCAAAAGGATTCCGAAAGGACATCAATAGGAGTCAAAAGAAGTTAAAAGGCAACCAATAGGACTCCAAAGGGAAATTGATAGGATTCAAAAGGCATTAAAAAAAACACCCATAGGAATCGCAAGGAGTTGATAGCAAAAAACATCGATCGGAATGAAACACATTGTCAAGGAATTCAAAAGGAATCACGGAAATTTACAAGGATTAACGAAATAGGAGTTGGTATAAAATCAATCAACCACTTGCAGAACATATACCATGGAACATGCACCATGACCATACCAACCTGCAGATGTATTTTTAGGGGGTGAAAATAGAAAACACATATATATATATGTATTATTCATACACATGTTTTTAACACATAACCCGGAAATTAATAGGAATTCAGAAGGAATTTGAAAGGACAACAAATTAAGAGGAATCCAAAAGGACATCAATAGGAATCAAACGGTGTTTAAAAGGAACTGGTAATCCCAAGGAAATCAATTGGAAGTAAAAGGAAGTTATGAGGAAATCGATAGGAATGAAAGGACATCGAACGGAATCAACAGGAACTGATTTCCTAGCACCCAGCAGATAAGTTATGTATACTGCATTGAGGCCTTCAGAGGATCATGTACTTAGAACATAGCAGCCATCCACTTAGAACATTAGGGGCAAATTTGGCTGTGATGTTCGAAGAGGATGTTCTAAGATACTAGTCCGTTTTATGAGGATGTGCTATAATGGTGGTTTTCCTGACGTTCTAAAACAATGGAACCTTTTTAGAAGTGACAAAATACGTTCTAAGTTTCACCTCATCACTATATATACATATATATATATGTACAAATGTGTAGACAGTGTAAACTTTGATTGAATGACGCGAACATTGGTGCAGGAAGTTGTTTGGTGCAACACTCTGGAAAGGCATGACCCCCACAGCGCCAGTGTGCCAGCAGCCTGTCACCAAGGTGCTTCGCCTGACCGGCCACGTCGGCGGGCGGAAGGGGAGAGGCCCAAGGACGAACGGTCATAGGATAACAAACTTAAGATAACAAACTTATATAAGTATTCTTGAAAACAATTCAGATACAATCGGATACAATAACTTTTCTCAACTGCGTAGCGAAGGCTTCTCGTTTAACTTTGGGAGTCTGAGGGTACAGCGTTGTGTGCGGGATGTTGCTTTCATGTTCGCAACTGTTCGCCGCGACCGTCCGCCGTTTTGGAGAGCTGACGTTTGACTTCGGGAGGAAGGGTCGTACGAAACGCTCATTCTTGAGAAGCCGACAAGAGTGTCCCATAAGAGCATCCCTGCCCACAAGACTGTGCCACAAGAGAGTCCCACAAGAGTGTTCCATGAGATTGTGCCAGAAAATTTCTCACAAGAGTGAGTGTCGCGTGTCCCGCTATGGCATTTTTTGGGCATGTGTTCTGACATTTGTGATCGCATCATGTATAGCATGCGTTCGGACTTGTGTTCCCAATCATCCTTACGCCTCTCCTGACATATCTTCGTGTGATCCCTGATTGTGCCATATATGTCCTGACATTATGGCATTCTATCGTTCATATTTTCTATCTCACACTCTGTTTGACATTTCTCTGTCATTTTATTTGGCGTTCTGTCCGGTATAAATGCAACTAAACTAGATAAAACATATATTTGGCATTCCTGTTCGGGCCCGTGTGTGCTGAGACCGAGCAGGTGGGAAACATATGTGATTGAAAGAGTAAAGTGATGACATTTATGTTCTTGGGGTTTGTGGAAAGGCATCTTTTTATTCACATCCACTTTGCTTGGACTGGTTGGATCCTTCAGTCCAAACTATATATCTATTTGGTCAAGTGGTGGATCGTCATGGTCCTGCAGTATCCTTTCATGCTTTGTCGTGTACATGGTTCATTCTTCATTACCGGATATTCGAAGCTTGTGGAACTTGGATTTGTTCTTGCTTGGGCTCCATGCTGGGACGCTCAAGATCGCTATTTCCTTGTTCAGCATCTTTGTTCTCCAGGAGAAGAAGGAACACAAGGATCGAGAGAAAGAACGAGCGGAGCGGCCCGTTTGCTCCTGAGATGGGTTGCTTCTGTCAATGCTGTCATTACGAAACTCAGAAATCCTCAGCGCTTTGCAACTTTTCTTCATGCTAATTAATATGGAAAAACTGAGTTCCAAACCTTAGATGCTTTTCGCACCATACATTCCAACCTCTATGTGACAAGTTCCATCACATCGAACAATTTGCAGAACTTATGTACATGCTCGGCTCTACTATGTAATTGAATCAGGCACACCTGCAGGCATGTAGCCACTAGCGATTTGACTTGACTTTTGATTCGAAGCTCTGAGTAGCTCCAATTTGAGACCCTTACCGTAAGGTTATATTGGATATTTTTTTTGCAGTCCGGGATATTGTGCACTGGCAGGCACAAAACTTCTTCTTTGGAGGAGTAGGAACGATAGCATTTTTAGACCGTACAACTGCGACTCTGCTGCCGCTGAGTCCGCGTGTCCGAAGATCGGAGATAAGACCGTACAACTGTGGACTGCAACTCTCGACAATTTTGGCTTAACAGCCTTGGGTTTGCCACGCCGCGACCAACGTTGGCCGGTGACAATCAGACGATTTAGGCTGGCAGGGATGGAGGGCAGTTTTGGAACTTGTGTTTTTTTGTAGACCATTTATGACGGCATTGATGACATGTGTGCGGCTTTCCAAGAGCCCTTCTCCTCTGTACTCCTACCGGATTGTCCGTGTTGGCAGACTCGCGAATCCATCAATTGAGATGTTGGTATTGGTTGATTCTGCACACAGCTATTTTCATGTTCTCCCGCATGCTTCGCAATTTGGTGACAAATATCCTTTTGAGAACTCTGCTTCTGAGTTGGCCATCAAATCTTGATAAATCTTGTTGCTACAACCTGGGCGCATGGGGTGCTGTGGGACCCTCACTTCAGTCACTTTACTATGAACGAACCAAGTCATTAGAATGGACAGGCGTTCTCACATTGCCATACCCGCAGGTCGTCATGATGCTGCTCTCCAGGGCTTTGCGTGCGGGCCACCTCTCCCACTACTCGGCGTCAGATCCACCCAGACGAGCGGGATGGAAGGGTGCTGCAAGTGACCAAAAGCTTGAGTCAGGCAGGTCATCACAGGAAGCTCTTCAACGAAACGATGTTGGCTTCAAACCATGCAAAAAAGGCTGACCGCAAGCAAGCTAGCTTGAAACAATGAAGTTGGCCTAGCTTTCTTTTTAGGATCATGCTCCTTTCCAAAGACTATGGAAGTCTCAAGAAGCAAGCACGATAAACGACATATAGGCCCAGAGTTGACCCAGTGTGGAGAGTGGTGAGGGGTGTACTTGTACTGTAGCATCCTGTAGCAGAGATGGGCTCTGGAAGTTGGATGGTCCTTCAGGGGTGTCTTGATACTACTCACTACTCGAAGCACAGTTGCTAGAAATTATCGTTTGCTTAGCGTCGCAGGTGGCTCAGTTGTTTCAATGTCTCCTATGAGTTCAAGTTTGGGCAAGGACGACGCCGTACTTGCCCAGTAAATAAGAGCTGCCCAAATAGGCTTCAACCTGTCGAGCAATCGGATCGCCAGATGATAGCTATCCCAACCCAATCCTGTCCTACTTGCTCGCACTCCTTGTGAAACTCAAGAGTTGTTTTGCACCAAGGAAGGGGAACTGGTCGCACTTCTCAATGCGCCAGCGTTATCCACAGATGCTCAAGGCGCAAACCGCCCGGGCCCCAGTCATGTGGTGCAAGTATAAATGCTTGCTGTGTGAATCGTCACAAATAAAATTAATGCTGCTGCTAGCATCTATTTTGTGGTGAAGAACCGAAACAGTGCAGTAGAGAAAGCCATCGCATTGGTCCCTATGCCAAGAAGGAATGTGTTTGGTTCTCGAAGCTGTTGCGAGTAGAGTCGAGAAGCCCGAGATGTATCGAACATGCTAACTTGCTTGAGGGTTAAACTACTGCTAGGCTGTTTTCCATTTCCTTCATGAACAAACTTGGCCCACGAGGTCCTTGTAATTCTCTTCAGGGCAAGCGAGGTATTCTTTTAAGGTTGCTGTTGCATCCCCTATTCTGACATGGCGAATCGTTCTTTAATGGAACCGTTCATATCACTGCACTAAGTAACTATATATCTCTATATACACATCCTTATGCATCACTTTCTGCAATTGATAAGCTCACCCTTGTATTCTTTCCTTACACAGTGTTCATATTCTTGGGTTCAAGAGCCGTTTTTTGGTTTCAGTGATGATGCTACAATTGCGTGCTACACTGCTGACTGCTGACCATCGTCTATTTACTCTTGATCAAAAGCATGATGACGCCGATACTTGGCTCTTGAGGATCCCACCATTAACGACTTCTTCTTTGAGCTCTTCCTCCGCACTGACCTCAGACAAATGGTGCGAAATCATTGCAGCCCGTGGCAAGCGTCGATGTTCGGCAGAGCAGCAAAAGCACCTACAACTAAGCAACAACTCTCGGCGATATGCTGACTTATACCGTGAGCTCACCGGCAATGTGATCATTTGTGGTGGTGTAATTGGCAGTGTGGCGGTTGCATGTTGCAATGCCCGAAGCAGAGATGTGCATTGTGGTGCTTTAGTTGTTTTCTGATGATATGCAGTACGGTGATGAGTGAAATAGTAATGAATAGTGCATAGTGGTATTGATCTCCGACGATTACAAGCAGTGTTTGCTCGTGATCATTTGTATTTTTGTGATTCTTAGTTCGTGATTCCTGCTCCACAGTTGCAAACAACAGGAGAAGGCACAGATTCAGACAACTACAGTTGTCAGCTGTTTTGTTTTTAGCTGGACCACCAGGCAAGTGGTTTGCCGATGGGCCTTCGTACAACTATGCGCTGGGAAGCCTCAGAGTGAAAGTGAACGGATGCAACTTTGCACAATTTGCCAATGGATTCATGCATCTTTATGACCCGGCCAGTGCTTGCTCAAAAGTCTTTTGTTACACAATCAAGTGCTTCAATAGGATCATGAGCAAAACATTCGTGCTTTAAGGATTGCTCTTGGGTGTTTATCAACCGCCATGTCAACAACTGCCATGGGGATACATATTATACATCATACGCATATAATTTTATGCCAGAATCGAGAACGTTGCTTCTCCAAACTGTGAGTCTCAGGTTCGTCAGCATTGCCGCCTTTGGAGCCTGCATTGGTATCCTGGGCCGTGGGCCTGGGCGCCTGGACAAAGCCCCAAGAAATGGCTGGGGTCTTCGTCTTGGTGCTCATGTGGCCAGATGTGAAGTTGTGCACATTGCTGAAAGCCAGTTGGACAATAGGTGCATTTGAGTTCTCTGCACTTCCACCATGCAGATGCCTGACTGAGGGTCTTCTTCAACCCAGACGTTTGTGGCCTCAGTTTGGGCGTTGCCTTCAAGCGTCAATCAATCTTCCAGCCACTCTGGAAGTCTTGCGATGTTGACACTGTGTTCTTGATTGCATTGTGGACGTTGCAAGATTCTATACATATCAATAAATAAATAGACATATATATATATATATCTACTATATCTATATCTATATCTCTATTTGTATTTGTATTTATATCTATATCTATCTATATCTAAATCTAATCTTATCTAATCTTATCAAATCTTATCTAATCCTATCTAATCCTATCTATTCGTATCTATGCCTATCGATCCCTATGCATCCCTATCGATCCTAACCATCCATATCCATATCCATATCCATATCCATTCATCCATCGATCCGTCGATCCATCAATCGGTCTATCTTTCTCTCTATCTCTATCTATCTATCTATCTCTATCTATCTCTATCTCTATCTCTATCTCTATCTCTATCTCTATCTCTGTCTATCTGTCTATCTATCTATCTATCTATCTATCAGCCTTTTGCAGTTCGAACGGCTATCCTGGCCACGATGCTTCACTCACCGTTCCTGCGATGAACCGGGGGTGGTGTCTTTGGGCATCCCGATGCCCCATGTGCTGGCTCGTAGCTCTCGCCGCGCTGGCACTGGCACCTTTCGACCTTGCTTCGTCCTCCTCTGGCAGCTGTTCAACTGTGCCTGGTCCCAATTCCAGGCACTCCATCGAGCCACTTGGACTTTTCAGCACGGTTGTTGGTGGAATGAAAGGGACGGGTTGGGGGGCTACCGCAGGCCCCCCTGAAGGGGAAATTAGATTTGAGGGAATTCGATGTAAATCCCCCAACCAATACGGCATAGGGCATGAAGCGCCCCAAGGGGCATCCAGACACATCTGCTCCTCCAAAAGGAGTTTTCGCAGAATGCAATGCAAATTAGCACAGCATGGCTTTGCCTCCTATAGAGGAAGACTTTGGTTTGACACTCCAGCTGCACCGAGCACCAAACCCTCGTCCAGGGAGGAGCAGGTCCACCATCCACGACAAGCTCGACCGCATGCCTCTTTCATGAGCTGGGACTGCATGTCCCTTCGGTCCCATGACTACCTCGAGCTCATGCACTGGATTGGACTTCAACAACTTGACATTGTCATGGTACAGTCCACGAACTGGACCCTCACTGAACCTTGGCAGAAGTTCGGATACACAGCCTATCCCTCGGCTGAAACTGACCCGCAAGGTTCGATGTGGCTACTGCCCTGCTGACAACATAAGTACCAGAGACATTGTTGTGATGTACAACTAGTTGTACGTAGTAACGCAGGAAGAACAGCGATCGTTGGAGCTGTTCTGGTTCAAATTTCAGAGGGGTGCCACCCTCTGAGCCGACGCTAGGTAGCCCTACCTACGTTGGCAGGTTGCTCGTCGCCATGTCCGATCTGGCGAGTCAACCTTTGGCGGCTTGGACGCTCCGAGAGCTTCGAGCTCTGACTTCCGGAGTGTCAGTTGACGACTTCCGCCGATCTTTGACGGCGATGATCAGCTGGTGTTCGGTGACCTTGTGTTTGCTTCATGCTCTACCTCCCCCGGCCCAGGAGTGCTTCCGAATCTTCGAGGATGCAGTCCAGTTCGTCATGGACTCGGTGGCGGCTCTGCTGGGCAAGACCTTCACTGGGCCTCAGGCCACTCTGCAATGGAGAACGACGGACGTGGGGCTCGTGCCTTCACAGCTCAAACGCGTCACCGCAAGCGTGATGGCTGCGCTTGAAGGAACGCATTTGGTGCTGGCGGACCTCTGGGTGGACGGCCTTGGACGGCCTCCGGATGGAGGAACTCGTCGAAGCAGTGTCGGCTTGCAGCTGCCTTTACCCCGGACAAGAAAGGAGGTGCTGATCTCACATGTGAGTGGAACCTTCGTCCGAGCTATCGCCGAAGTGTATCGGCGTCAGTTCCAACATGCTCGAGGCCCTCATGCCTCGGATGACGAGTGGGACGTTCTGATTTGTGGCCCCCAGACAAAGCGGGGCCCGCAAGGACCATCAGCCAGTTCCTGACTGTCACCCCTTAAGTGCTCGATAGTTTTTGATGAAATCGCCTTGCCGCCGCTTGTGCGCAGTCATTTTGTCTTGCCGTTCGCGGTCGGATCGCCCTGGGGGTTGTGATCGCCGGTCGTTGTCGACGTGTCGCTCGATTTCGGTCGTGAGTGAATGCCAGGTCGAGTTCATCCGATGTATTTTGACCGTGCCCATGCTCACATCGTTTTTCCGCAGAGACCCCAAGCTCATTGACTCTCAGGACGATGAGTCACGAGGCCGGACCTCAGGGACTGTGGGACGCCCTCCAAGCCACCGGCCTGCAAGAGCTGGCCCCGCTTTTGGTACGCCATGGGATTCGATCGCTGCCCGACGTGGCCCGTCGCTTCAATCAATTGACCGCAGCGGGATTCACGCCCGCCCAGTTGCAACAGCTCTGTGAGCGCCCCATGGGATCTGCTCTGGCTCCATCCATAGCACCTCGGCGAGACTTCCCGGCGGTTCGGGATGGGGCAGGGGCATCCCTGCAGTTGGCCCTCCAGGCCGCCCAACCCCAGCAGCAAGAAGGGAGCCTGCGAGCACTTGGACAGGACATGCTGGCCCCCTATATAGGCCATCAGTCGATAGCCGACTGAGGACGTCATTGACCTTAGACAACGTCCGGAGGGCCTCGGCATCATTCAAGGCGGGCAGTCGTACAACGCCCGAGTGCAGGCACGCTGATCGTGTGGAATCGCAGCAAAGTGGCCCACAAGCCTGGCATCGATGAGCAGCCCACGCTTTTTCACCGGATCCCCGACATAGAAGGGGCCTTCAAGCCGTGTCGGCGATGTTTTCACCTTGAACCAGACGCCGAGTCGAGCTCAGAAGGCAGCTCATCTCTCGAAGACGTCTCTTCCAACGATGAGGACTCCACGTAGACCAGGAACTCCGTGACAAAATTCGTCGTTTCTTCTCGGACCACGAATCGTGATCGACGTTCGGCGCCCGTGAGTCGTGGTTTTGACAGGTTGAGGCAAACAGGGCATGATCTCTGTGACTCTTGCAGTTCTGCATCGTGTCGTGAGTCGAGAGTCGAAGGCGACAGGTAACCAGGGCAGGTACTGGGGGCCTTTGCTGCTACCCACTCACCATCGTTGGCTCGCTCACCAACATGATTCACATACGCTGAGTTCCACGAGTTGTCCCGCCAGACAGTGGGCTCCAGGGACAATGGACATGACGGTGACCCTGCCGCCCCTCAGCGAAGTGCTCCGCAATGCCGGTGCGGACTCGATGGTTTGCGAGTACATGCAAGCCCGCGGGCTCACGGCAGTTGGCGCGTTTGCCAAAGTGGCCAATAGCATCGACAACCTGAAGACCACACTGGTGCAGCCGCTGTTGGACGGCTACACGAAGGGTGACTTGCACCTCATCATTGATGAGGCCGATAAGCCCATCGTGGAAGCTGTGATCATCACGGCATGGGAAGAGGCACAGAAGCTGTGGATCCACCACCTGCGGCTGCCGCCTTGGCCAGGCGCTACCCCGCCCGCCGGTCCAGCTGCGCCAGCGGCGACCGCCTCTCTGGCAGATGAGAAGCCATCACGCCAGCTGCCTGTCGGAGTATGGAACTCCGCAATCCAGCGCTACAACCTGGTCGAGATCCAGGGCATTCCCCGCCGTTTTCCAGAGAAGGAGCTTTTGGGGGCCGAGGTGACGTTGGCACGGATGCACCACGAGCACACCAAGAGCAAGATGTACACCCCAGTGGGCTTGGGGGAGATCATGACCCACCGCTCCTTCACGCCCACGAGGGAGCCCGGTCAAATCCAAGCAGGAGACCAAGAACATGTTGACCATTGGCCTGGATCCTCTTGGATTATGGGCCCGAGCTGGTGGTCCATGAGTTTTGTGATTGGCTCAGCACGAGAGCCCGCCTGAGGCCGCAGAAGCTCGAACAGTTCAAGGTCTATTATGACCAGGGATGCGCAGCCACATGACCTTCACCGAAGCCGCAGGCGAGGTTTGCGAAGAGCTAGAGACCTACCAGGAGGCCATGGACTGTGCCACGAGCTGGATCCCTGGTTCGACCACTGGTTCTTCTGGGACAAGTCCCAAGATGAGGAGGATGGCAGCTTCTTTGATGGCATCGGATCGGGGCCCTGCATCCTTCACGACCTCCTGAGTCAGCCACCACTCCTGATTGCTTGGGAGACAGATCCAGTGTGCTGCGCCATCACCAGTACAAGTATGACAGGGACCCACCACCAAGACACCCCATCCGAGGCGGCCAAATTCATCAGAAGCCAGGCCGAGAACACCCCTCACCAGCTGTGGATCTTAGCCGGCCCACCGTGCCCCGATTTCTCACGCATCAAAGACAACGCCCCAGGCAGGTCGGGCGCAGAAGGGGCCAAGATGGAGTCTTTCTGCACCCTTCCTGGAGGAGCTTGAACAGGGGTTCAGTGACTGGCCACCGGTCCACCTCCTCGTAGAAAACGTCGTGATGGTTAACAAGCAAGAGGTTAAACATTCCCCGCGTCGGAAGCGCCGCCCGATTCTGGTCGACGCAGCCGACCTTGGGATCGTGAGCCGACCACGACTATGGTGGGGCCGAGTCAACTGGTCACGCAAGGCCACTTACCCCGGCGCCGACAGACCCCTCCGGTGGAGCCAGTCCCAGGGCATCGACCGCCTGCAAGCCTCCCTGACGTGGGACCATCGAATACCCCCACTTGAGGTTTCATGAACAAGTCTGGCAGCACCAGATCCGGACACCGTGCCTCACCACTCCAGCCCCCAGACCTCAGATGAAGCCCGTCGAAGGTGGCTTGGTGACCGCCGCCGGTTCGCTCCATGCAACTATGGGGACACCGCCATGATGCAGGACGATGGGCGCCGCTACTACATCCCCCTCCGAGAATCAAGGAGCGAACGCGCCACTACCCCGACGGGCACACCAAGCACCAAGCAGCCAGCGCCCACGATCGCCACCGCCTG